AACCAACAGTCGTTACTCAAATATGCGCACGGAGTAAAACCTCCGTCGAATCTAATACTCTGCAATTGATACATAATATATATATATATATATATTTTGCACAAATGTTGCCATGGTGGTGGCTTGTCCCATAGATTCAATAGAACATATTATTTTTTTGTGACTTTTATACAAGTAGTGTAATGTATGCCTCATTCAATTAGAAAATAAATATATTTTTGACTCTAAAGATAAGACCATATTCTAACAAAATTATTAGTCAATTCCTTAAGAAATTTGAATACTATATTTTTATTTTATTTTTGATAGATTGCAAAACATCATTCTCATTGGATCTATCTTATTTATAATGTCGGGGTAGCTTGTAAAGTTTCAAATCTTTTCAAATCATCATAAAATTAGTGCAAAAATTATTCGTATACTTTTCATCCTATATAATACCTCACAAATTCCTATGCAATATAGACATCAGATTTGTGGAGTTATTTTTGGCCAATGACAAGTGAGGCCGGTAATGCACAAACCCGCACAACCTGAAACCCGGATCCAGTAACTCGAACCAGATCCGGTTCTTTGTGAAACCGGCGGTCCATTGCTGAACCGCCCAGAAGAACCGAACCGGTCCAGAACAGTGCAATATATATATATATAATGCTTCTGCCCGGTTCATGAGATTACTCACTCTGCCTCTGACTCTCACACTTTCTCTCTCCCCGATTCTCAATTCCTCTCTCTAAAAGCCCTAACCCTCGACGGAGATTCCAACGATCTTCCTTGGGTTTCTCCGGTGATATGTCCGGCGATTTGAAGGGTTCGAACGAGTTCTTTGATAAACAGCCAGTGCTGAGGCTGTTCTTTGGTTTGATTTACGATTTCGAGCATTCCTTACAGTGTATTGAGTATATTGTCTGTTGTGAGGGACTAGACTTAAATCGTTGATGTTTTCCATAGATCGTGGTTTGGTTCGCATGTTTGTTGCGTTTCCGTGGATGTCGGTTGTGTTTGAGTTGTTATTGTGCATTACAGTAGGTGTTGGGGTTATTTCTCGATTGGGTAAACTGAGTCCGAGCAGTAGCTTTCGTTTAATAAAAGTTTCTTTAAGTTTTTTGGTTAAATTCGTGTGTTTCTTGTATATATATATATGGCTTATCGATCTTGAATGTGTAACAACAAGATTGTCATCAGAAACTGAAAATCTTGTTTCCAAGATTTTTCAACTCAGCTCTTGGCAGGAGCAGGGTGAGCTATTGCTCAGACTCTTAATTAATAGGGAAATTAGGGGCCCAAATTTTAAAATATTACTTATTATTATTATTATTATTATTATTATTATTAAATTTTAATTATAATACATATATATATATATATATTATAATTATCCATTTTAAAATTCTAATTATTTTTTTTTTCTCTCTTCTTTTTGACCAGCCTCATTCCATCTTTCCAAATTCAATCTTGGTCTACACTACTCTACCTCACACCTTGTGGCATTGCGCCGACCCACTCAGACCAAACTCATCTCACATTATCTCTTCTCTCTCTTTCGTCCTCACTCAATCATTCTCGCTTTTTTAAAACAGTTCATCTTTCATTTTTTTTCCCTCAAATCTACCATGTCACGTTAAAATTTTTTGTTCAATCGATGCAAAGTGATATTATTTTAAAAATACATTTTAATAATGTATTTATAGGACCTATAATTTATTTTTCCTTAGGACCCCATAAAAGCCCGTGACGGCCTTGCTTTTATATGCATTTTGCATATAAAAAAATGTGAATGCAAATTCATATAAAAGGAATTTTAATAACCATGCAACAACTAAAGTATTACTCACTCCTTCCACAGCCTAATGCCTTACTTTCCTATTTGGGACGTCCAATAACTATTATCATTTTTTTTAAACACAAATTTTATATTTTTACCTTTCATTCATTTATTACTTTTAATTTCTATCGTACAATTATGGGCAAATTTGTCAATTCATAACAAAAAGACAATCACCTAAAAAACCGTGCAAATATACTTTAGGACAATAGAAATTAGACGGATGGAGTACATCCGATCCACGCTGCATAGTGTTACATTATTGTAGCTAGACTTTGAAATTGAGTTATTAATGAAGTCTACATTGTTTTAAAGTCAACTTGAGAAACTTACTATCTTCATGATACTTGGGCGATTTTCCGAAACACCATGCTATCACTGATAATGAATCACGTTCAATTATAGTTCTTGAAAATGATATTCCATATGATATTTCAACCATACCTTCGAGTTCTCTCATACTAGAATCAATCACTCTACTAAATTTAGAGAGCATGAAAAAAATGACCTCTTTATTATCCTGAATTACTGCTCATGGACTGGCGTTACCGAGATAATCAAAGGGCGTCCTATCGACGTTAATGTTCCAGTATCCCTCTTCAGAAGGCGCCCACGATATGTTGTTTCGTTGAAGAAATGAGGCGTTTGGTACAAAGAATGAAATTGCAGATAAATGAAAGTAAAGAATGGAATTTGAGAGAAATGAAATTGAGTAGAGAATGCAAATTAATTCTCTTGTTCGGTAAAACATATAATTCAGTTGAGAAAGGTAAAAAAAATGCAGTTATATGAATAGATCAAACAAAAATAAATGATTAACCCAATAAAAAAAAGTTTTAATGAATGAGATTTCATGAAAAATATTTTTGGTGATTTTTTTTTTAAAATTATAAATTATATACGATGTTTTTTAAAATTATACAATTTTTTAAAAGATCGTAAAAATTAAATATTTTAACAATAAATTAAATTTGATTTTTGTAAAATTGAAATAATATAATTTTTTTAAAAAAATTATAAAAATTAAATAGTAAAAAAATATAAAAAATATATATATACTGCAACATCATTTTTCTCGGTCGCACATCATCGAGAACCTTGTCTTCTTACCATTCCTAATCAAGATTTTAATATTTTTTTTCCTTCTGGATTTACAACCTCTTCAAAACATAATCATTCTTTTTTTTTTTTCTTTTTTTTTTTAATCCACTCTCACATCAAATTTAAAGGAATAGCAAGATCGGAGGCCAAATTTTAAAGGATATGTTACTTAATATTTTAGTAATTATATATAAAATATTTGAGGATTTTATTACTATTATTATGAATTTATTTGGTTGTGGTATGAAATTAATTTGAAATGAATTATTTGAATTTTTATTTAAATAATATTTTGATGTTATATTTTGTGAAAAAAATAATAATACTCCCTCCGTCCCTACTCAAAGTATTATTTTTATTATTTTTGTTCGTCTCACTCCAACGTATTTCTTTTCTATTTCAATACAAGTAATTATACATTAATACCAAAATACCCTTAATTACTATCTAAATTACAAACATACCATTACACATACAATTACTTTATACATAAAGTCAAAGACAAAAATGTCAAATCTTACACATTTTCATTAACCAATAAAATACTACTACCTTCGTTCGGCTCTAATGATTTCATTTATTTTTTGTATGTTGATATTTGAATATTAATTACTATATCAAAATGTAGTACAAATTAAGAAAAGATTGCAAAAATACTTATATTAGAAGGACATTTGTAAAAAAAAATTATACAAATATAAAAATATTTTTAATGTTAAATACAATGACGAAAAGGTAAATGTGACCCTCAGATGCGGAACGAAAGAAGTATTATTTTTTAATCTACTGTCAAACTCCGAATGACTCGAAAAGAACAATTTTTTTATTAAAAAATATAGTAAATGAATAATATTAATGGATTTGAATTTGAACTACTAAAAGAACAATCTTTATGAAGTTCATACTTATTAAAATGTCTATTGATATTAGATGGAATAATTATTAACAAAAAATTATTTGATTGTAAATCAAATTAATGATATAAAAATAGGTAGATACATGTAACACAAACGAACAAACCCGGTTGATTTTTTTTATTTTATTTATTTATTTATTTTTTTTTTGTAAATAATTGATCAATAATTAAGCGGCTTAATCATTATAAGCACATTCCAATTGGGTCCCACCAAACACAAAGTACACAAACTTAGACATTTTTAGAGTTGAGACACAACTACTGCTGTGTTATTGAATATATAATAATTTATTTATTTATTATGAATTTATATTAATTAATTTCATTTGATAATGGGCACTCAAATCTGAACAAACTACTCATATATCAATTGATTAAATCTCATTATTATTATTATTATTATTATTATTATTATTATTATTATTATTATCCTAAATAAAATGGCCTGGCTTTCACATGGGTTTGCTGTCCTAACAAATATTAAAATCAAGAATTCATATGAAGATTAAATCAAATTAATTAGTATTAAATTGAACAAAATCAGCATTGTACGTTCGTATGCATGTATTCTTGAATTTTGCAACAACAATAATAATGGGCAATTTTTATTTTTATATGTATTTTTTTTTATTTTGATAATTTTGCGAGATTTTTATCTAAAATTTAATTAACCCTTCATTCACTATGTTCTTTTCATATATATATATATATATATATATTTTTATACTACGTATAATTTATAATTTTCAATAAAAAATCACATCAAATTATTATTTAAACAAAAGGATCAAATGAAACTAAATCTATTAATGCTTAAAATGAAGCATGCATTGAAATTTGAATATAACGACATTTTATAACAAAAATGATAATAAAAATTGAATATTGCCAAAATAAAAGGAAAAACAAGAAATAATTTCTTTACAATTATTTCAATCAGAAAAAGGAATGAATAGAATCACAATCGCCATTATACTGTCTGTATGTAAGTCTGTCTTTCTGTGTATATATATATATTTGTGTATGTATCTTTTGCTGACTCAGCTGCCCGGCGGGACGACTCGGCGGCGGCGACACGTGGCCGCCGGCGGCTGCCATCTCCATCACATTGTCCGGAGCCGGCTTACGTATGTATATGTATATATGTATAAAGAAAAGAAAATAAATTAAAGCTGAGAAAATCATTAATTTAATAATTTTTTCTGAGTTTCCGGTGGATCGATCACCAGATGGAGTTGTCGGAAACGCCGTTCAAGAGCGGCCGGGATTCGGCCCAGCACTGGCTGCTGCGGCGGCACTGCTGCTGGAAGTCTTCAACGGTGGCGAACCGGGCGGTTCGAGAGTCTTTCCGGGACAAGAACCGGAGGATCTCCTCGAAAACCGATTCGTCGCAGGGAATGGCGAGCGGACCGGAGTTGGAAAAACCGTACTCTTCCTCGGCCTGGACCAGTAGGTTCTGGAAAACCGGGTGGTTCAGGTACGTCGCCCGGACGACGAACCGCTTGCAGCTGGCGCCGACCGAGACGGCCACGTGGCCGGCGGGGACGTCGGAGGGGGTGAGGCGAGGGGCGGCCGCCGCCGCCGCCGACTTCTTGCGCCACCGCCGGAGCATCTGCCGGAGGCGGACGATGTGGCGGATCTTGCTGCAGGCAGACATTGTGTGGATTTTTTGAGATTTTGAGAGAATTTGGAGATTCGATTTTGTTCTTGAATTAAATTGAATTGAATTGGGGGAAAATTTGGGGAATTAGGGATTTGAAGTCGGGGTATATATAGTGTTGGGGATAATTTTATGCCCCTGATTTTGTTCAAAGTTACAGCAGTGGCATTGCAGTTTTTGTATGATATTTATAAGCAGAGTTTCATATTTGACGTTGTTCAAGAAGTTGTTAGTTATTCAGTACTATTTTTATATTCCATCATTTTTATTTAATTTAATTATTCATAATTAATTACAAATTTATGGAAAATATTAAGGATATGTTGTCTTGTATTTTAAATTGAAATTAATACTATTTATTCTGTACGATTTTCAATATAAATATATTATTTTCTCTTAAAAAACATTATATTAAGATATTATTCAAATAAAAATTAAAATCAATATTCAATTTCAAGCTACAATAGGACAAATCTTAAAATATCATTATTTTAACTACCATATGATTAAAAAAGTTTAGATATAACTGCTACGATTTTTTCAGCATCTTATATATAATTAAAATTAAAAAAAAAAAAGTATCAAAATGAAATAACTTAAACAAAAAAAATTTAGCACTGTCGAATTTTTTTTTTTTTTTTTTTTTTTTTTTTTTTAACTAGACAGATAATCAATAGTTTAAATAGAATTTCAATGAGTATGCTCACTTAGTATTTTTTAGGAGAACCATTCTTTATATATATTATTTAAAAAATATAATATAATATACATTAATATAATATATAATATATATTTCATCCACTTAAAAAAAGATAATAATTCAACGTAAAATATTATTTTTTATATTATCAACATAATTTTTCATGACTAATATAATACTTTTATAAACAAACACATCGATAATATTATCAATAAATCTTTTTATATAAGTCCAATATATATCATATACTACATTTCTCTAAAATGAACTGTCTCGAAAGAATTTTGTAGAAAATAAAAAAAAATAAAAAGTTATATTAATAAGTAAGTTTATATAATATAGAAAAAAATTAAAATATTCTTGAATTTAAGTAAGACCAAAAGTGAAATGTGAAATGATATCTACCTAAATTTGATAAGTACAAAATTGAAGGTAAGTTTATAAATTACGTGGGACCACATAAATTATTAAAAAAAAATAAACTATTTAAATAGTACTCATTCCATTTCATAAATATAATCTTAGTTGGGTTGGATACGAAATTTAAGAAATATTAATATTATATTGGTTGTGGGTAAAAAATATGGATAAAATACATTTTTGCTCTTGTGAGTGTATTAGTGTAAAAAGTAGTGGCAATTGTGTAATAAAAATGAAAAAGTATAGGTACTTTTACGGTGATATGGTTATTTATGGAAATAAGACTATTGTTTTAAGACGGACAAAAATAGTAAATAAGACTATTGTATTAAAACGGATGAGTATAACTTCAAAAGTAAAATATAAAATTATTTTAAGTTGAGATGAAACGAGTACATCAGTATTTAATATCTTCTCAATGAAAAACTTGTACTGTTCATAAACAAAATAAAATTGCATTTTTTCTATCCACAATCACAATTAATATTAAATTTAAAATTTTAATTAATTAATTAGAATTAAGTAGCAATATGTGTGTTTTGTATTAATTTCAAATTCAAATGACCATTTTATAGTTTGCATGGTTTTAAAAATACTTTTATTGTCCAAATTGAAAAATACTTTTTACTTTTTTTTTTCCGTATGTTTTACTTAAAAGTATTTTTTTTTCTATTATAATAAAAAAAATCACACATAGCTATCAAAATATTATTTAATTTTTACATAAATTACAAATATATCATTATAAATACAATTAATTTATACGTAATATACAAGAACAAAAATATATACTTCACTCGTCCACTACTGAAACTTTTCATTTGTCATTTTAGTTTGTTCAAATCAATTTTTTTTTTCTTTTTTTTAAGAAAAAAATTAACTCTTAACTAATTACTCCCTCCGTTCCGCCAAAGATGATCTCTTTTGTTAGGGACACGATATTTTAGGTAGTGTAGGTTATTACGTTATTAATAATAAGTTATGATAATATTTTATTAATTTTTATATGTGTAGTATTGTTTGTATTTTAAATATTTTTAGAATTATATCTCAATAAAATATATGCAATATAGATATCATTTTCTAGATATCATTTTCTAACCTCCACACCACATTTGTTAGATTGTGATTTAAAATTGATTTTTTTTTTTAAAAAATAAAATTATTATTTATTTATTTGAAATAAAAACAAACACACCTCATGTACTTAAAACAAATTAAAAGGTGAAAGTGGCTAAGGCTAATGTGAGTCCAAAGTATCAAACCTTCCACATGCAAATTCAGACAAAAAGTAAATATAATCAAATATTCTTAAGTTCTACAGAGGTAGTTAGTTAGAAAAGTGATTAAAATAACACTATCAAAACACAAATAAAAAAAAATAAAAAATAAAAAAAGAAAAGATGCTTTCTCTTATAATAAGATTTTTAAAAAATATACATATATATATATATATATATTCACTATTTGAAAATTAGAACATTTCTTTTTTATGCCATTTCTTGCCATGAACCATGTGCAAAACTGTCCCCATCTATACATTAAAATTTTATTTATATAAAAAATGATATTTAATCTTCGCTAGCAGCCAAACATGGCCTTAGTTAATAATATAATTACCCTATTTAATCCTCAATTAGGTACTTAATCAAGTTAGAATCATGCATGAATGTTGATTTATATTAATTTAAATATATTGTATTATTTGAAATATATTCCTTTCATTCAAAATTAATTAATCATAAATTTTTTAGATGATATCATTTTGCTAGATTTTTTTTTTTTTTGAATCAATTATTCTTATGTGTTTGTTTGTGGGTTTGGATTTTTCGATTTGGATTTTTTTATGGTAAAAATTTGAATTTAAATAATTATTTGATGTAATAAATAGATGTTGATGTGATATTTTGAACAATTTATAGTATACTATAAAAAAAAGTAATTATTTGATTTGATATTTTTAGAGGAAAAAAAAAATCTAAATACTTAAAAAATTTGTGAAATATATCAAAATATGTTTGAAATATATTTGCAATAGAATGTTAGATTTAAGTTTTTGCTTAAATAGTATTTTGATATGATGTTTTATGAAAGTAAATAATATACTTCCTTCGTCCGTCTCTAAGGGTCTCATTTATCTTTTGCATCATTCTACTTAATATGAAAAATATTATTATATTTGTATAACTTTTTGCACAAATGTCATTATAATAGTATTATAAGACATTAATAAAAGTATTTTTGCTTTTTTTTTTCTTTTGATTTGTACTATATTTTCGTATAATAATTAATACTCAAATATCAATACGCAAAAAGTAAATGAAACTTTTAGAATCGGATGAAAATAGTATTTTTTTTATGAGAACTGATCCAAAGTGAATAATATAGAAAAAATTCATATATTCCATTCATCTATATTTTAAGGGTAGATTTTTTAATGCTATTAATATTATATATATATATATAGTACAAAAATGTAATACAAAATATTTAAAATGATAATATGATATTTTTGTAATAATATAGTATAAATTATGTGAAAACTACAATTACAAAAAAAAGTGGATAAATTAATTTCAAATGGACCAAAATTTGAAAATGTATAGATTAAATTCAGACAGAGACAATATTTATCTTCTATTTAATATATTTATGTAAAAAAAAAAGTATATTGAAAAATCACAATAAATATATATATAATTATATTGCAATAAGTCTTTATTATTATTATTATTATTATTATTATTATTATTATGTAGGAACGAGTATCCACTACTCTTTAAGTGCATTGGGTGGTGTCGAGGATTTGACTTTACGATCACGAGTTCACTTTACATCATTTAACAATTTTTTTTATGGAATTACAATCAGTCTATTTTTTTTATGACGTGAGAATCCGCAACTTCTATCTGAAAATACACACCGGATAAATCCCCGACCGAATCTAACATATTTATATCACAATAAATAATAACTACAATTTAAAATTTATTGTTCCAAATTATACTAAAAAACAACCTAACAATACTTCAGGAAAAAAAAAAAAAAAAACTTTCATTATTAAAATTATTTTTAGAAACTCATCTAAACATTCGGATTTGTTTGAATGTGCTTTGGTAGTTTGGAAATAATTAAGATTTGAATTTTAATTTCAAATCGAAATCAATACTATTCGTTCGAATGATTTTTAATAAAAATATACTAATTTTTTTTTATAAAATATTATATCAAAATACTATTTAAAAAAAAATTATTCAAATAAACAAATATTTTAAATCAATTCAACTACAACTAAACAAACAAGTTTTTTCTTATATGATATATTCTTTCTATTCGGAAATAGTTGACAGTTGACATGTAAGATTTGTGCAATAGTATTTTATCCAACAGAATGTAATAAGTTAATAATAGGAAGTGATAATATTATTTTATTATTATTTTATATGTTTGGTGTGTTGTTGGTAATTCTTAAATAGTATGATATAATTTTACACTAAATAATATAAATTTATTTAAATTTAGTAAATTAAATGTTTAAAAATTGATAAATTTAAATTGTGAATTGAAGAAAAATATATTATTTTATTTTAAAAAAGTTATATTGTTTTATAAATTAAGTCCATTTGATTTAACTCTAATTATTGATTACAAATTAAATTTACCCATTTTCAAATATTTATTTAAACCAAAAGTTTATTCAATTAAAAAAATATTGAAAAATAATCAATGTAAAATAAAAATATGATTAAATAAATATTTAGATAATTAAAGCCTCAAAATATAGAATAATCAATTGGATATAAATAATGTTAATACATATAGGGGTGCATAAATGACCAAATTTCCGAAATATTGCATATAACGTACTGCAAGAAATATCTAAATTACCAAAAATTATAGATGATACCATATCGAATTTCTTCCTAATTTCT